GAGCGGGCGGCAGCGCCGAGATGCACGGCTCCCAAGGGAAGGCTGGGGTCCTGCTCGGGAGAGCTGCTGCCTTTCTGCGCTGCCAAGCTGACAGGTTGGGGAAGCCCTCTCTATGCTAACTTTCCCCCCACTTGCGATCGCTCCACTGAACCCCTCTCCGCTTCGCTCGCCTGGCCCCCTTTATGTATTTATCTCCCCAGCTCGTTGGGGAGATAGCCACATCTCTGCTGCGGAGGAGGTAGGAGGGACAGGCTAGAGACTGGGTGGCAGAGGGGGAAAGCAGCCGTGTACAAGGAAACTACCTCATGTTCATCTTGCTGTTTGCATTCCCGGAGGGGTCCCTAGCTGCCTCCCCTCCGGCAGGCAGCGGCTCGGGATGCACAGACCAGGCTTCCCAGCCATCACATCGGCAGCACAGCTGTTTGCATCTGGAGGTCTGGCCTGCAGGTGTTGGGCTTTACTTTTCCCAGCTAGCCAGTAGTTTTTTGGGTTTGGTTTGGGTTTTTTAAATTGTTTTCTTTCTTTTTTTTTTTCTTTCCTTGTGGAGGGTGGGACGGTTGTTAGCGCTGACAGCGCTGCCCATGAGCGCTGGCACTCACTCGGGTAATATCCCCTGGCCTCCATGCTCCAGGGTTTGAGTCAGCCCCAGGCACCTCTGGCTCTCTGAGTCACTGTCCACTTCCCACCCTCTCCCTGCAGCTGGGACTGCGGGGCCCAGGTGTGGGTGGCGAAGGGGGACAGACTGGCAGTGCTGGTGTTTCATGTGAGCAGGTGATGCAGGCAGCTGCCAGCCCTTCGGCAGGGGCCGAGTCTGCATCTGATCTGCCGCTCCTGCCCTGTCAATAGGGAGGGGATTGAGCCCTGAGGTGGCCCAAAGCTGTGGAGGAGCTGGAGATGCGAGGGAAGGCGGGAGGAAAGCAGGGCTGAGCTGAGCACCTCCCAGTGTCACTACCTGGGAAATAAGGCCAGGCTGAGCTGCTCTGTCTGGGCAAAGTAAGCTGTGCTGTTGCCTGATGTGACTGGATTGAAGGCTCGGGAGTTGGGGCTTTGTTCCCGTAGATGTTACATTTTGCCTTAGGGCCACCCTGGATGGAGCTGTTCATCCCTCTTAGACTCTTTTGTATGGGGGGGTTCCTGCTGGGGTATAACCCCAGTGCCCTGCCACAGCTACCGCTGGGGAAGGAGGGTGGTCCTACTCTTTTTGGGCAGCAGATGAGTATCCTTTCATGTAATGTCATTTCTTCTTCCGCCTTTTTTGTCCCCCCTCCATCCACGCCTGCTCTGCTTCTGGTAGACCCCAAGGGGTGCCAGGTAAACTCTGGTGCCAGGCTGAGGTTGTTTTTTACTCAGATCAAAGGTGGGTTTGTTGGGTCAGAAGATCCCTCACTTGCAGCAGTCCCAAACTTCTGCTGTGTCTAAGCCCAGGTGTCCTCCTGGGGTCCCCGAGCCACTCGCCATGCATGCCCCGAGGGGTGACCACCCTCTCAGGCTGGCTGCTCTCATGGCACAGCTGGATGCTCCTGGCCTGTTTCAGGAGCTTTAGCAGCTAATTTCCCCCTGGTACCTGAATCTCAAAGCGTGACTGAACTATTCCTTCTGCTGCAAAGCTCCTGGCCCCAGCAGGAGAAGATGCTGCTTTGAGTGTGGGCCTCAAACAGTGGTGCACTTCATCTCTTTAGAGGCTTTTTCTCCATCAGACACCTTTCCTGGCAGACACTTTTCATTTTTTTGCACTCTTACCAACCACTCTAAGCACTGATGAACATCACAAACCAGGTTAGAGCTCCCCTTTCCCACCTGAGGGATTAGAGGCAGAGTTGTGCATATGGGTGCCGAGGCGATCAGCTTGTGCCTCCTCTGCAAACAGACCCTTCCCTTTCTGGTGGGTCACCCCAGGACAAAATAACGAGTTCTTTGGCAAATCCCAGGGTTTTCCAGGGTTCAGAAATGGGTCTCCTGATGACTTCTTGTGCAAGCCCTTTGGACATGTCAGGAGCTGGTGCTGGATGGCTCTGCTTCACCGGAGATGGCACCCCTGGCCATATCTAGGAAGCATCAGCTGCTGCCTTAAAGGATTTCCAGCCCCTGTCATAGACCTGACCTTGGCCTTACTTGCATCCTTTTGATGAATTCTCCAGACCTGGTTTTAGGCTCGCTTAAGGTTCTTTTGGCCAGTTTTGAACCTGTCAGGCACTTCCAGGCTCGCCTCCAGCCAGGACACTAGCTCACACTCACGCCAGAAGGCTGTTCTACCCCTGACACTATTTTCCTCAGTTTTGCCTTAGTGTTTAATCAAATGTAAGGTGCTCTAAGTCATTAAAAGGTGAAATACATGAGCTTTCCTAAGAGAGGAGGTACCAAGCCCTGTCTCCTTGACCCTGGTGAAGACTAAATACTAGAATTGTGCAGGTCTAAGCACCTTTCAGCCAGCACCCAGCCCAAAAGTGTTCTCCATCTTTGCCTTCTCATGCCTGCAAGGCTCCTTTGCCTGCCCCCTGCTTTTTGGCTTCTTCCCGTCTCAGCTTCCCCTGGTCTTTCTGCTTCCCTTTCACAATCCACCAGAAAACAAGAGCTGGCCACAGCCCATCCGCCCACGGAGGCTTTGTGCGTGTCTGCCTTTGTAGTGAGCGGTGGCAGGGATCCGTGCCCAGGGTGGTTACGACTGTGGGACGGCCAAGAGGCCACCACCCATCTCTCCCTCGGTGAAAGGGATGGATGGAGGGAGGGGTGCAGCTTCCTGGGGTGCAGTGGGGCTTGACTGTGACCTTTGCCGGCCGTGCAGACGGCGTGTTTACGAGGGTTGGTGGGGGAGATGTGGGGTCATGGTAACCTGGCTTCAGTCACATCCCCTGGATGAAAGCCAGGAGGTCCTGCTTCTCCTGGAGCTCCTGCTCCTCTGCACCTCTGCCTCTCTCTGCTGGCCTCTTTGCAATCCCGGTGGCAGGTACCGCTTCCCCAGGGTGTCACGCTGAGCGTCCCCAGGGACAGGCAAGGCAGCAGGGCAGGGCAGCAATGCCTTGTTTTGGACCTGATGCCTTGATGCCAGGGAGATGGGCAGGCGGTGCATGTGGTGGGAACAGCACTGTCAGGGGCAGGAGAACCTGTGCAGTGGGGTGGAGATATAGGGAAAAGCAGGCTAGAGCATAAGAACTATTGTAGCAGGAGCATAAAAAAGGGCATGGCAGCAGGTTTTGGCAGCATCAGGGCACCGTTTCATCTGGAAGTGATTTGTTGGGGTGGGGAGCAGGAGGGCGGGGGGCTCCCAGAAGTGGTAGGTAGCCACTGGTAGGGTTCAAAGCATGCCTTCGAGCTCTTTCACCCCAGCTGATGACCCCATGAACGTCCCAGCTGCGGTGATTTAGGAGCCCAGAAGCATTTATTTCAAGCAGCGGGTCCATTTCCCTTTGCTAGTATTTAAGTGCCTTATGGCCATTGATTCCTAAGGGCATTGAGTGCCTGCAAGCTGCTGGTTCCCAACCATGGGCAAAGGTTCCCTTTCCCAAACCATGGGGAAAGCCAGCAAAGTTCCAGGTCTCACCCAGCCTAAAATACAGGTTTGCAAAATGCTTAGGTGCACAGGGAGAGACAGAGCCCAAAGCTATTCCTGGGGATGGATTTATGCTCAGGAGAGCTTCGAGGGCTGAGGAGTGCACCCACCCGGCTGGAGGCAGAGCATCCCTCCATCTTCCCCCTTTGACCCTTGCCCGCCCGTGCTGGATGCATGACTGGGAGGAAAACTGGAGCGTAAAGGCGAGCTGTAAATCTGCCTGGAAGCTGTTGGGAAAGCAGTCCCTAGAGGAGTCTGTTTTGCTTTGGGTTGCTGTGCTCTAATTCTTAAAAGCTTTGGCCCGCAGATAAAAAGCTTAGCCTCTAATCCTGTCCTGCAGGAGCGCTCCTACAGAGGCAGCTCAGAAACACCTCGCTCTTCAGCCTCTCCTTCTGTCCATGCTCTTCCTCCCCTCTCCATCCCGCCTCTCAGGCTGTGCCATCCCTCCTAGCTACTCTACCTGCTCATCTGAATGATTTTGGATGGGAGCTGGGGTGTCCCCCCTGGTGCAGCACCCATTGCCCAGCCTCTGGCCACCTTCATTTACCCGTGGCAGCGGCAGTGGGAGCCCCCCCTGCAGCCCTGCCAAGGGCTGCCCTGCTGCCGGGGTCCCAGCTTGTGCTCTGGGGTGGAGTGGCAATGCTCTCCAGTCCTCACCAACTCTCCTCTCTCTCTGTCCCTATCCTGGTCCCTGCTCCAGGAGTTTTCGACAACTGCTCACACACGGCCAGCGATAAGGGCTGGGCACTGGGCATCCGCGCCCTGCAGCTCGGCGGCAAGAAGGATGCCCGCTTCTTCTTCTCCCTCCGCACAGACCGGGCGGCCGCTGCCACCGAGGTGACTGCCTACCACCACTACCGCCCCGAGGCATGGACCCACCTGGCTGCCAGCTACTTCATGGCCTCCTGCCGCACACTGCTGCTGGGGGGGGATGCTTGGGGGACAGCACATGCTTTCAGGGGACACTTGGCTGGGCTGGCCCTGTGGCAGGGCAGCCT